GCTTGTTTCATCAAAAGAAAAGCAATATAATCTTCTCTCTCAATTATCACCTATGAAATCTTATTGATCGCGATGCATTTCGGTAAACTCCACTATCAAAATTCTCACTTCCTCCATTTTTTCTTTTAATTCTTTTAGTGTTTTCTTCAGTGTTTTCAATGCGCGAAACGCAATGTGGGGCGCAAAGTCAGTTTACGTGCACATGTGCAAAGCGCAATGCGATGCGCGCGCTCGAGCGAAGCGAGGCGCACTCCAAACCACAAAAATTTTTAAGATATACAAGATGCATGAAAAAATAAATATTTAAAATTTCACATAGAAAATTTTCAACTATATTGCTAAATTTTATTTTTCTCTTTATATGTTACAAATGGAGAATCAAGTTTCAAGTTTCAACTAGTAGCACTACATCTAACTCAAATAGCAAGAATCAATACTCACAATTTCTTGCACAGGGAATCAAATAGTAGCACTAGTACTACAATAATAAGCTTGAAAATTTTTAACAATTATGACTGATATGTATTAATAAGAAAGAATCAATTATTTCATAATATCATGACTCTGCAATTCTGCATATTGATATTAAGCCAAAGAAAAAAAACACTTAATAGCCAAGACTCAAGAGCAATAATAATAAAAAAATTAAATTAAAAACTAACAGCTAGGAAAAGTAAGTTAGTTAACATTAAATCTCTCTTTGTAAGTTAGTTAATATTAAAATCAAAGCAATTTTAAAAGAGTTAACTTAATTAACACTTTAACAGTTTACAGTTTAGTCACTTAACATCGCTGAGGACCAGTGAAAGAAAAAAACATAACTGAGTGAACTTAATTAACAATTTTAGAAGAGAACGCAAAACGAAAAGAAAAAAGAAAAGAAAAAAAAAGAAAAAAACATATCTAAGGAGCAGAGAAAGAGAACACAACAAAAAGAAAAGAAAAAAGAAAAAATAAAAGAAAAAGAAAAAGAACGAGAACGCAAAAATATCCAGCTCACTGAGGAGAAAAGAAAAGAAAAAAAGAAAACGCAAAAACGAAAAGAAAAAAAGAGGAGCCAAAAAACATTGTTGAGGAGAACATACCTGCTCGCCGCTCACCGTCGCCGCTAACCGTCGTTGCTTTGTTGCTGCTGAGTGGAGACCCAATAACCCTAATGAAAAGATCGGGATTCGGGAGTGGGAGAAGAACGACAAAACCCTAACATAGAAATCGGGTTTAAGTGGGAAGTGAGTTTACACCCAATAACCCACTGAATAAAAGTGATTTCTTCCATGTTCTCATGCGCGCGCCTCATCGAAGGCGTCGAGCGTTGCGGGGCGCTCTCCAGGCACGCGCCTGACGCAAGCGTAGTGCCCCGCAGGCACTATGCCACTGCGCCAAAGCGCCTCACGCCCGAGGCGCGTGCATGGATGCACATTTCACTGATTTTATTTTGTGCATTTGAGCATCCATATATAATATAATTTTATGCAACTCTTGAGGTCCAAGTGGAGGGAAGTAGATTAGTCGTGAAATAATTAGTGCATAATTAATTAAGAGAATTTGATTAGTCAATCAGAGAAGATACATGAACACTTTAATTATGGGTTTATTTCTTACTACTATTCATATTAAATGCATTATTAGGAGGTTTAGAAGGGCAGATGTCATAAATTAATTTGTTAGTAGGATCTAATTATTATATTGTAATAGTTTTTTATGAGAAAAAATATATTATGACACATCCAAACTAAACTAAAAACCTAAAATCACAACAAACGAATGTGGACAAACGCTGCTCCTTATCAGATCGCAGAATATTATATAAAAATGGTAGTGGGTCTGCGAGGCATACTACAAAATCATCAATTTTCTTAGCTCTTCGGACCAACACATGAGCCGTTATATTCCTCGTTTAATAAACTATCTGAAAATCTCATTCCTTGAGTCATGTGCAACATCGCCGAATATCATCCATAAAGTTTTTGAAGACCGAGTGTTGCTCCGCACCATTTTTAATATCTCTAATTACGAACTCCACATCTTCTTTGAAAATTACCTTTCCACATTTGGTGTTAAGAGCAAATGTAATAGCTTCCCATACCGTTTGGAATTCTGCATGCTCAGAATTAACTTGTGTCCAAGTATTATGATAAGTATATTGCAATAGTTAGCAATCTATTATGATAGTTTTATATGCTATTTCTAGACTACGTACGCTAAGAGATTTACATTTATATTAGGATCCCTGTCCATGAAGTTTTCATATATCAGACACACATATTAATATATTATAGTATTAGTTTAGATGTTATATATTTAATTAAATATTTAATTATTTTAAATTACAATATAATTTATAAATATAAGTTATCGTATTATTATCTTAAATATTAAAATTGTATAATTATTGTATAGTACATAATATCTAAAGTGAAATATTTATCTTATTTAACATAAGACTAACATGGTTAAAATTTATGGTATATATTAGTTCTTATGTTTGTTGCAAGAATAATTATAGTGTAATAAATAAAATGTGAATAAAATTTGAGGAATATGATTAAAATTTATAATATATATTTAGTTTTTAATTTTGGTTCTTATGTTTAATAATTATAGTGCAATAAATAGAATGAATTGAATAAATTTTAAGGCGTTATTGAAAGAGGGATAAAAGAGTCAATCAAAAGTTTTAACACCATAATCCTCTTTTATAAATAGTATAGATTAGATTGGATTTCATTGGCATAAAATTGCTCTGTGACATGAGAGATCAAGATCTATCTCGTTAGATAATACGTTAGACTTTTGATACTCTGGACAGAGACATCTCACTATGTAACCCCTTGTTGGGGAAAAAAACTTTTATGTAGCTCATTATGTTGAGTTATGTAACCTAACAGACATTAGAAGTTACATAACCTGTGAAATAACTCATACACATCATAACTCCATGTAATTACGATATAATATGCGTTATTGCAATATGACTAACGTTATTTCAATATAACATGCATTATTAACATAACTCGCGTTATTCCAATATAGTTTATTATAGAAACCTAAGAGTATTTCCTTTCTTTATTTATTTTTTTCTGTTTGAAACTTGAAGTGCATGTGCTTTTGAATTGGTTTTTAAGCATTTATGACATATTTTTGTTGAGAAAGTATGATGATATTTGATAATTATGATGTTATATGAACACGGTGATGATTCTATTTATTAAAATAGTTGTGAATGTGCTTTATTTAAATAAACTATAATAACCCAATATGTTACTTTGTTTTACGTTTTAAGTTATCGCAAGGCGGGTGTTATGTTATGCGTCATCATCATTTTCAACATAATTTGTAACCTTTACAACCATTGCTGAAGGAGTATTTTTAATCAAGCACTGAAACATTGGTTTTGAATAGGAAACCATCTTCCATCTTCCACATATATTATAAGTAAAGGTTCATGCTCAGAGCCTCTTATGCAGAAACGTTTCTGCTACTTGATGGCCAATACTTTAACAACTAACAGTTACTATTTGTTGTAGCCTAAGTTTTTTGGCAAAGTAGGATGATCCATTTGATACTCATCCCACTTCTTTATGGCTCCTATCCCCATGGAAAAACTATTGGTAAGAATCTACAAGTGTTTTATGTGGGTCTGATTTGGTTGCATCTCCGAATGGACTAAATTTTGCATCCTTTACTTGTAGGCTTAAAATTTTTTTACAGGCATAAAATTGCCAATTTTTTTCACCTCTAGCTCAAACCCTCTGGATGTCTGATATCTATATAAGTGCATGATGATAGATGATTTCCTCTCCTGTCTTTTTTTTATCTTTACCATTTTCTATTCTTGCTAATTCCTTATTGTTTAGTTTCTAAAGAATTCACTTTCAGTTGCATAAACTATGCATAGTTTTCCATTCAATGTATATATATGTATGTATGTATATATGTATGTATATGCATACATAGTAGACTAATATTGTATATACTATATATATATATATACTATATTATATAGTATATATATTAATATATTATAATATATAATATATATATATATATATATATATATATAATACTTAGAGAGATGCATGAGAGAGAGAGAGAGAGAGAGAGACGGGGAGAAATATGCGGTATGCTTGGTACCAAGCACAAAATTTTGTGCTTGGTAGGATATGTCATATCTCCCCATTCACTCATTACCCATTGTTGAATGCTGCCGTCCCACCATGTTGACATGATGTGCGAGGAGACTGTAACACCTCACTACAAGCCCCAACTTTTTTGGCTTGTACCACAGATACCCATTATTTCCTCATACTATCATAACTACATATATATATATATATATATATTATACTATTATATAATCATATATATATATATATAATATATTATATATAGAGAGCAGAGAAAGAGAGAGAGAGAGAGAGAGAAAGACTCCTATCAACTTAAGTTTGATATCCACCAAAACTTCCTAACCACTCATTTGATTAATATAAAAAACCTTATTCATATCATGCAAGGATCCCTAGGCAATATGAGTGGCTTAAAAAGTTTCTTATGCCACACCTCGCGCGTCGGATAGATTTCTTTTGCTATCCACTTAAGTTGACACACAGTTTTGCTCTATATATATGTATACTGAGTATTATCATATTATACTGTATATATATACTACCTACCTATAGCTATATATGTCCGCTATATTACTATATATACTATTGTATCATAGTACGATATCAATCATATATCTACTTCATACACCATATACGACGTAGCGTCTACCGTAACACCCATATACATATCTACTTACCTACATAACATATAGTGATATATTCTATATACCACATATCTAACTACTATTATAGATATACCATATATACATTATATACTACTATATCACGGTCAACGGAGGGGCGTATACATCTATACTTGACCTATACTCTTATTAGTATAAGAGTGAGGATTCTTGCACTATTGTGGTAATTTATGCTTATTTGTTGTTGTAGGGCACAATGGAGCTGGTAAAAGCACTACCATTTCAATGCTTGTTGGTCTTCTTCCTCCTACTTCTGGCGATGCATTGGTGTTTGACAAGAATATTATAACAGATATGGTAAGTTCTGGGGCTTTTTATTTCTTTTTTGGCGATGCATTGGTGTTTGACAAGAATATTATAACAGATATGGTAAGTTCTGGGGCTTTTTATTTCTTATGCATTGGTGTTTGACAAGAACATTATAACAGATATGGTAAGTTCTGGGGCTTTTTATTTCATTGTATTTTGTTTATGGGCTTTCTCAGTTAGCGCCAATTAGTTGCCTATTTGGGGTGGATGAGATTGCCTTGGTCTACACTTTTTGAAGTACACAGACAAGTTTTCTACTTTAGCTTAAGTGGCTCTGCAAATTGGTTGGTAGAATGTTGAAAAGACGTTTTCTATGCCTTGGGAATTAAGTGCGTGATTCAGGCAGCTCTGATGCGCTCGTTACTGAAAAAAATTTTAAATACTTTGTTGCTCCTTATGTTCTGGTAGCCAAAGTAGTTTCTTGATTGGAATCAACTAAATTAGCAAAATAATGTGGTCTGGTGCTGAACCTATTAGTGCAGAGTTCTCCTGGGTTTAGTTTAATTCCCTTGTTATGTATTTGGGGTGGATGAGATTGCCTTGGTCTACACTTTTTGAAGTACACAGACAAGTTTTCTACTTGAGCTTAAGTGGCTCTGCAAATTGGTTGGTAGAATGTTGAAAAGACTTTTTCTATGCCTTGGGAATTAAGTGCGTGATTCAGGCAGCTCTGATGCGCTCGTTACTGAAAAGAATTTTAAGTACTTTGTTGCTCCTTATGGACTGGTAGCCAAAGTAGTTTCTTGATTGGAATCAACTAAATTAGCAAAAAAATGTGGTCTGGTGCTGAACCTATTAGTGCAGAGTTCTCCTGGGTTTAGTTTAATTCCCTTGTTATGTATGATGATTAGAAAAGTAATTTATATATATCAAGAAATTCTTCAGCAATAATCCTATTTATTTCCTTGCTAAGCCTGGTTGCAACTCAGGTTTGCTAGAGCAGTCACAGTTCATAATTTTAAGTATCTTCTCTCCCTCGTTCTGTTCTTTATATGCTACATTTTCGCTTGCTGCTTACTACTGTTTGTAAATTATTTAAATTACCTGATCAGCATATGTTTTGAAATTTAGTCTAAGCTGCTATTACTGTATACTTTCTTAGTTTTTGTCGGGGGTATCATATGAGTTCTTGGGCTTATGAGATACTCTTATGCTTATTCTGCCTTCTCTTTGTTAAGTTGATTCACAATTGTCATAGTGAGGTGAAGTGGAGGCATGGCATTTAATTTGAAAGCCCATATCAATGGGTTACATCTGGATTTTTTTTTAATTTATCAAATTTTATATAGATATTCGGTAGATCTTCTCAGAATTATGATTTTACATGCTTAGGTTTTGATAACTCACTCTTAAGATATTCACTCTGGTGGCAGGATGAAATGAGAAAGGGTAATATTCTCACCTCTGTTTGTGCTGTCAATTAATATCAAAGGGATCTTTATGTTTGTTTCGTAGTAAGACAATTTTATTGTATGTTTTTCTAGTACATGAATATTTGTCTCATAGTTGAAAGTCTGTATCCATCCTTTATTACTTTCTGACCACAAAAAACCATACTTGATTAATTTCTCTGCATTCATCGTGCTAATTGTTCTCAATTGTAAATTGTTAACCTGGTTTGTACCCATTGCATTTCCGATCCATTATTTCTGCTCTGTGTTTCTATCTTCACAACAGTGATTTTTAATTGTCAAAAACATATTAACTTTGATATCACAGTTCTGTTGCATTCACTTTCGGTATCACTTTAATATCTCTTGGATCTGTTAAATGTAAGTCTCGGAACCTTCTTTCTATTCCTGAAATCTAAATTTGTGCTGTCTACATCATCTTTTAAATTCCCTTGATAATCTTTACATGTGCAACAAAGGCTACTAGATGCACCAATTAGGGTAACCGATAAGATTATAGTTAATGGGGGTAAAGGGGACTAGAGGTAGACCTAGAAGAACTTGGTTTGAAGCAATGAAGAAGTATATAATAATATGTAACAGTTAACTCACTGGAGGAGATGAACTGAACGAAATAATAAGATTCATGTAGCCAACACCAGAATGGGACGAAGGCCTTGTTGTTATTCTTAATCTTTACATGGAGCATTGCAATTTTGTGAAAATACATTTGTTGGAGTCAAAATAATAAATCTGTTGAGTGTTTAGGTTACTAAAATTAGTAAGATAAACTTCTTCAATCCCATTATAAAGCCATCTTTCTGTGAACTTGTGTGTATCGTCCAAATGACTCTGCAAATTTCTAATACGTCTTGTATATGGCGAACAATTCTCCTATGTTTTTTAGAATAGCTCCTGTCTTGTCCATCCGCTGAAATCCTCTTTGCTTGTTGTTGGAATGCTAATGCTATCTAGCTGAATTTAAAATTGTAGATTTTTCACAGCCAAATGATTATGAAGGAAATGGCAAAACATTCATATGTGAACTCTATTGGTGATTTCTATTTTACAGTTGTAGCCTTTTAGGACTGGTAGAACTTGTAGGATCTAGTTCACAGTTGAGACTAGTGCAACTTAAGGGATCATTGTTATCTGAATGGAAGCATTTACCAGTGACAGTACAGGGAACTGAGAGAGTACACACAGAACTAGAATGAGTTGCCATTGGTTCATGATATTTGTAGCACCGATATTTGTGAACTGAGAAACAAATATTTATGACTGCATTACTTGAATTACTTCTGGAGATCTTAGTTGGGAATGGTCAGATGGATGGAGGCATATTGGTTATGCACTCCACACTGCGCTAGAAATGTCATAATCTGTTGACTAAGAATTAGGTTAGAATTCTACAATGCTGTTATATAACACGAGCTTATTCAATACTAATTGCGTTAGAAGTATGACCTGTAAAATTCAAACATTCTTGTTAATGATCTTTGTGGGTTGCTTATTAGCTTGAAAATGTGATTAAAATTTAGTTAAGTCTTGATTCTTATACAAGAGGCCTTATACTTGTTTATGCATTGATGAATTGGTGTTTCAGTTTTAATAAGTTCTCATTTCTCTTGTTGCCATTTTAATTACTTAAAGCCTGCTAATTGAGTTTGTTCTAGGGACTCGCAAGGGCTTATTTTTCATATTAATTTGTAGGACGAGATACGACAGACGTTGGGTGTTTGTCCTCAAAGTGATGTACTTTTTCCAGAGCTAACGGTGAGCCTGTCATGCAAATCTCTGATTACTATAACATTTTTTCTCTTCTCCTCTATTAGTGTCTTCTTGTATTTTGGAGGTTTTTTAAGTTAAAATTTAGTCATATGTGTCATGAGTTGCACATTTTTTTCTGCCCTTCCTATTAATGGCTGAGCTCTGCAACCACCTTTCTTGCTGGTCCTGCATGTAAAGTTTGCAATATCCTCCTGTTCGTTGTGTACAAACATCATGAACACCCTCCACTTTTGCACTCAACCTAACAGATTGTTCCATGTATTGTAGACTATTAACATTTATGTAACAATTTATTGTGCTCTTTGGAGAGGTGGGTCTCTCATACTTCCAAGTCAAATCACAATTTATCCTTGTGGGCCTTGTTCAGGGCCTGTCCATTGACGAAATCTACGCAATTTTTTTTTTTTTTTTTTTCTTTTTGGGGGGGGGGGGGGGGGGTTGGGACAGCATAACCTGGGCTTAAAGCTGTCACTGAGCATGGGCATGTGTACATTGCGTTTGTAGCTTGGGATCAATTGTTGTCTACGGCTGCTGTTTTTCCTGGATAGTTTTAGATTACAATGTAGAGAGTTCGCCGATGATTAGCGATGTCTGCCGAGAGTGCGTTCAACTTCGCGGGCATGCCGCGGGGGACTGCGGGAAAGCAAAGACGTATGAGTCTGCATGCCCCAGTAGGGACTTTGCCGCAGAATGCATTTGCTGGCAGGGTACTGAGCATAGGTCTCCGCGTGCTGTACCGTTATGTGCCGGGCGCAATTAACTTCGTCCAACAAGTGACCACCGTAGTCGACGTATCTGTGGATGCGCTCCGCAGTGTTTCCATTGCTGCACTGGAATAACTAACAAGACTAATGATTTGCTGTCTGATTGACAGCTGGCAGTTCGACGACCCGGCGCGACACGCCCGCGGCGGCCGCGGGCCGTCCAGCAGTTCTCATGCTGCGTGAAGGGTGGCCCTTTTTAGTCAGCAGCCAGCGGTGCAGCGGGCTTGACATGCCGCGCGCGCGCCGGCGCCCGCGACGGCCGCCCGGCCCGCCGCCGCGGCGGGGCCCCGGGTCTCGTTAATTGCCGACCTAATTTCTGCGCACACAAATCGACCGAGTACTCGGCCACAGCTGGACTTGTCAAAGCGATGCATGGGTACTTTTGAATGCTCGCGCCATCTTTCATTTGCTGCCGGCGAAATGAAAGTGGTGTCGGCGGCCGCGCTGGTCTGATTAGGGCATGCAGTGTTGGCACAGGCCGCAAGTCACCGGATCCTCATGGCTCCTTCGAAGGTTGGCCTTTGTTTCCTACGCACCCGCTGACCACGCTTACAGCACTTGCCATGCGCGCCGGAACTCATCCCGTCCTGTTTAGTTCTGTGTCAAATTGATTATAAGAAGCGTGTGGCATAATGAGGCAATTTACAAATGGAGCGTTTGGTTGATGCCAGCGGCCGTTGCGATGCTGGGCTTTGTACAATGTAGTCTATCCTTGTTGCTTATACGTCGTCAGTGCCCGGGTTGCTTAGCGTGTTGGAGAGAAATCTGAAGCGTGTGTAGGGTGACTCTGCAGTCTTGAGTGTTGCGCTTCATCCCCGTGGCGGACATAGTCTTTTGGCGCCGCTATGCTAGCTTGGGTTGCAGCCAGTATTCTCATCCTGCGCAATGTGGGCCGCTAAGTGTTATGGCTGTCTGAATTGAGTCGCTGCGCAGTGGAATATGTGGAATGAGAGTGGGTGCTGAACCTGACGGGGAGGCTACGTGTTTTTTTGTGTCATGCTTGTAACCCATGTTCCAGTGACTTAGAGACCTTCCGGAGATTTGGTGTAATACTGGTGTGGTGTACATGTAGCTGGGGCAGGATGGTTTGGTTTTGGTCGGGGCGGAGCGTGCTTCGTCTCATCGATATAGTTTATTGGTGTAGCAGTTGGCTGGCAAGGGGACTTGTTGTATGCCCCCGGTGAAGGATTGATTTTAAATTAGCTGGGTAAGTGCTTTTTAGTTTATACATCAGTGCTCCGCTTGGCTTGGCAGCTGTGGGAAAGAAGATCTGGACATGTGAAGCAAGCGAGTAGTGCGTGAGTGGGGGCGCGCTTATGTTGCGCTGTCTCGGACCAGTGTCTTTTGGCCCATGCTATTTGGTTTATGAGGATTTGCCTTGTGCTTACCGCTCGGCGCCCCGCGCGGCCGGTCGCACCCCCGCTCACACGAAATAGGTTTTAATTGAAAATGATAATAAAAGGCGGCGGGCACATGAACAGTTGTGGGCGCCAAGGCAAATCCGCTCGGCCTTCGGACGGGAGGACCTGCGAAGTCTAACGTTCAAATATACTGGCAAGCTAAACGATGTATTTTCAGATATATAGTACCATGGATTCGGCTGCGAAGAAAGGCTGCTTATAGGTTCGGCAAAAATTCCAACTTACACTTAATCATCATGGCAAACCTCTATGAATAGGTCTCCTGTAGCGCCGACCGGCGCGATGTCATCAAGCAGTATTCGTCCTGCGCTAACTGATGCCAACTTCA